TATGTGTGTTGTCGTTCGCCTGGAATTGACCGAGCGATCGAAAAAAACACGGAAGTTCCCTCACAGACCAGAAGGTTGTTAGAATTCTCCTTTAAGCTGCGGCCAATTTCTTGTTCCGCTATAGCAATTTCGAGAACTTTCCGGAAATAAAACTTCCTCCAAACCACGAAAGCGGCTGTTGGGTATGGTGGCTGTCGCTGTCTAATCGCAGTGGTAGTCGAAAAACATTACGGCGACCAACGGTCTGAAAAATATTCGTTCCTGACGGATATAGGCCCGCAGACTCTTCGTTTAGAACGCACACGCATGAACAACTTCAATAAAGATCTTTCAAGAGTGCTACAAAAATGTTTGAAATACTTTTTAGTAAAGTATAACACAAACGTAGAATCCAACCAAAGCAGCTAACTCGAAATGCAGTAGATATGAAGGAAAACAAAATAAACTCTTTTAAAATCATTCAATTTGTGAACATAACGTTGAAGCAAAACTTTATAGCTAATCTGCAATTAGAAATTAAGTTAGTAAAAAAATATACAAGTTAACTTATGCTCGTAATATGTGTGACAACAACTTAAGTAAAACATCACACAATATACAATTTCTTGTTATAAAACTAATTTTTCACAAGTTAAAATAATCATCTATCAAGTTTATTTACCTACAATTAAACAAATAAATATCAAAATACCTCGCATGCTGAAGGAACCCCATGTTTTCATTGTTCATGAAGTGGAAGTTCATCAGTATGCTAGGGGTGCTATTTATCTCGCAAACAAAGTGCACCAGTGTATAACACCTCTGGTTCGTAATAGTATTAGAAAAGGTGTGTAGTTCTGTTCTTACCATTAGAAAAAGAAACATCAAGAGTAGTTTCTCATTTTGGATTTGCGGATGATTATTCAACCACTGTGACAATAATAAATAATTGGACAAGTAGGAGGTTGGTGAAAATAAAATTGGAAGATTAAAAAGAGTATTTTATTCTATATTCAGGGTGCTCTTGGTCCGTTTCAAGTTAAGGCATTTGAATATCTTAAAGAACTGGAATCGAACGAAAAAACATTTGAGAAGAGAGTTAATATTTTTCGAGTGAAAAATAACCATATGCTCTAACCAATGTTGCATTTTACTGCGTATACTATCCCAGAAGGTACTTTTAATAATAATATGCTATAAACAGTGACAACCAACCGGCCAAATGACTTTGCAAAAATTAACTTTGAAATTGTAATCGTGATCTCACATTTGTATTGCAATCTAGAGTTTTCGGAGAAGGGAGGGCTGGGAAACATGGAATGGGAAATGAACTTCGACGAATTGGAAAGAAAACACTGTCAACTGAAAAGCTCCGGTTCGGGACTTGGTTTATTCTCTTACTAATTCCACTAATGAATAAATTTACTTTATTTCATGTGTGTGCATATAAAGTATACTTTCTCTTCGAATTCTCGGCTATCCGGGAGACGCCGCGTCGTAGGCTGGGGTGCCGACGTTTCGCCTGACATTTCGCAGGCTTCCTCAGGGCAGTGACGACCTCAGGGCAGTGACGACCTTCCTCAGGGCAACCTCACTGCCCTGAGGAAGCCTGCGAAATGTTAGGCGAAACGTCGGCACCCCAGCCTACGACGCGGCGTCTCCCGGATAGCCGTGAATTCATGGATTCGAGTGGCGGAAGCTTACGTACACATACTTTCTCTTCGTTGTCATGAAGCACTATGAGTTAGTGTCTTAGGTGAAGTGATGTTGAGATGGAGGTAAAATTAAAATTCATTGGATTACTATCAATATAAAAAATATTCTGATTTTTGTGAGCTTTAGCTGATTTTGTTAGGGCACTTAAATAACAATATCTAGCAAAAACATTTTACATGAATAGTTTATTGTTTTGGTCTTTTATTTTTAAACTAGCTTTGACACTTCCACAGTCACTTACAAGCCTCATAACTATATAGTCATAACGTGCCTGATGTAAACTTAGGTTTCTTTTGATAAAGTTCTTTAGTTGTCGCATTTAGTAACGAAGGGCAGAGTAGATCTTTCTATTCCATCAAAAGCTTCTCTTCCAAATTATGTAAACTAAATGCTTTTTATTTCAGCCGAACTTTGATATCTTGTTTAAGTTTTCTTACAAAGCGTAGCAATTAATAGAACTCTCATAACGCAGCATATACTTTTACTGAGTTTTAACTCGGTAAAAGCTCCCAAGAATCAGGACGCGATAAAATACAGTTCACCGTTTCACTCAAAAGTTCTCAGTGAGAATTTGAATGGCGCAATTCGTAAGGCACTGGCGGAAACCGGCGAACAGTCAAGATTCTCTGAATACGAAGAGTGAAGTCGCTCGCCTTTCACCAAAGAGATCCGGGTTCGATTCCTGGACAATCGCAAGTGAAATTTGTTCCAACAAAACGAGTTTGACTGCTTCACAAGGGCTAGTCCAACCCCTAAACCCTACACACATCCGAACTACTTCCCAATTCTGGCCGCTGGGTAGTGACGCAGGAGCTCATAGTAGGATGCGCGTACGCGGACATGCTACCTGACGATCCTCCTGATCTGATTATGACCATATTAATTGAGGATTACGCTAAGCGCAAAGAGCTGAACGCCCCCGAGGGGCTTGGAGACTTATTACTTCTATCTAGACACAACAAATTTAATGCAGAAATAAAATGGGAGCACTCCTCGCCAGCAAAATAACACTAAGCGCTGCGACCGGACAGAGAGCTCTTAATGCGCTGCGCTATCGTTTGCGAAATATTTTTTTATCTTTTCGTTGTTATTTTTTATTGTTTCTTGGCTGTTTCGTAACTAATATTGTTTAAATATGATTATTTGTTAATCAATTATTGTTTAAAATGTAATTTTAATTGCGTAGTAATCACAATTAAGTTGGCTTGGTCATCATCGCATCTATCGATGACAGGATGCTTCGCCACTGCTGTTATTCTTTCATACCTGAGGGGACACTGCTTGGTCGCTTACTATTTAAGATATTGTTTACTGTACCAATTGTGAGTCCGCCATATTCACCAATGAACTGGCATCTCACTGTGTCCTCACGTCTCACACCCTCCTCCTTACCTCATCTGCACCGTTCTCCCTTTCTCTACTTCGTATCTCACAGTGCAAGTGTATTCAGGAAAGGCTGGCAGAAAGTGGGTGACTGCGGTGGGTGACTGCCGAAAGTGGGTGAACGATATGTCACCTTCCTTCTCTATCTCCATGGAACATTTCACTTTGCCGAGACAATGCGAATACATCCCTCAGATGTACCACAGCAGTTTGGTTGTTTCTCACTGTTTCCCAATCAATTCGATTTTATATTCTATACATGTAATTCTTCCCCAATACTTTTCCACCCGTGGCTCGGTGTCTTGTATACACTGTGTCACAAAACAGAAATGTGACCCAAGAGACAACTTCCATCTATTTACGCCTTACGAACTTTACATGCAAAAATCCTTGTAAAAGTAGTAGGTATCTTAGCTGGAATAGTGCAATAGTGCTCGTTCTGTGTTCTCAGTTAGCTCGATTGATTTTTTTATTTTATTCAGGTTTAAGACGCTTCTTGGAGATCAATAATATGCTGATAGACTGTTTTTATTACTCATATCTCTTAAAAATATTTTTGTAGGAAGCCACGAGTAAAATGGGTTCTTTCAGGGCATGCATAACGCGCTGAAAATTTTTAACACAAGTGCTGAAAGTGTGGGTAAATGAGTATTACAAATTTATGGGTAAATTTATTTAATATGGATATTACAAATAAAGCAAAATATTTTCATCTGACTGAATCAGCCATTGCTGACTTTAAATGTATCATAAATTAATTGTATAGTTAAATTAAAATATCTGTTTTAAATTCGCCTGCCCAATTGGCAGACGGGCGAATGGACATTTTCTGAAAAAATATCTGCAAATACAAAAACAGTTTTTTTAGTACCAAGAAGTGTATTTTACAACATCTCGGCTTCGAGTTTTTTGTAACATTATAAAACATAATCCATATATACCAGTAAATTAAAAATAAAAGACGACGAAACGGATATTCACATATATTACGAGCAACAAACAGGGGAAGATGGAGGGTGAGGGTGGAGGGGTAGGGGGGGTAAGGGAAGGTCGGCGACGCAGCGCTCCCATCCCCTAACGCCATAACGCTTGTCTGGAGACTCGGCGCCGCGCCGCTAGAGCGCAATTACTGCGGCGGCGCGGCGCCGGGCCCCTAACCGAGCTGTCTCATGACGCTCCGGACAGCTCCATGAGCGATGGGGTCATTCACCTCTCGAACGGAGAATGGCCTCTTGAATTCGTGATGACACACTGCTTTGTCCACCACAAGTTTCCAAGTTGACGGAGAGGTTCAGATAGCGAAGCGCCCATGAATACCTTAGTTCAGCCTCTAAGCACTCTGCCGAGAATAGAGACAAACTGCGCAATGTTTTGCTTCGGTGGGCAGTTTCTAAGTTGGTCAAGTTTTGAATAATATAAAATAAAAATCCTTCATTCCTCACAGAATTATAGGAACTTTATTGACTTCTGATTTCTTTCAGGACTAAATTTCGCGGGATCTACCTTTTTAGGAGTTTTGTTTGTCTCTGTTTTTGCATATCTTGACCCTATTTCTCATCTAGTTACTTGTATGATCCCAATTTCATGTTTTCAGTTTCATTTTTCTTCTTTTCTGTCTCTTATTATACACCTTAACCAAGCTGTTCCAAATAGTTTGTGAGACACTTCAAAATAATAATAATTATTACGATATTACTATATTACAATTTCATAATCATTCTACTTTCTCTCTGGTCGAAAGGTAGATGAATTATGTAAGTTAATTATTCATTCTACTTCCATTCTTTCTAAAATGGAACTCTCATTTAAATAATATTTAATTTTCGTTGCCTTCTCTAGGGTAAAAAGCTTTTTTCTTATTTTTGTGATTATCTCAAAAACCGAAAAGCTAATTGTCAAAAAATATAGAACAATTACTTCAAATATTTTTAAGGAAGGGTCGTAAATTGTTCCAAGAAATCTCCGAATAAATTTTTATTGAAAATTTCTTTTCAACATCAATTGCATTGTCTTTTATTTTTATTTGATATTGTGTTAGTACATTGTAAGTTACCTCAATGCATTTTTAAACAAATGTTTGTGAACAATTTACCTCTTAGAATGAAAATAGAGAAGAATAGTATAGGGAAGAATGTGTGGTTGAACTTGCGAGAGTTCTCGCACGGGTATGCGGAGGTAGTAGGGGAAAACTTGTGCTATGGCACAACACAAAGAACAAACTTTTTAAATTAACTAAAGTATAGTATCTTGAAATAAATGAACAACAAAAATCAAAACGGAGTAACCTACAATACTACGTGAATTAACTTAAAAAAGCAACCAAATTTAAAATTACAAAAGAATAGCGCAAGTCACTCGACAACTGCCATCGATCACAATAAAGACTCACGATTTGAATGATGGCGGTATCTGAAAGTCTGTACATCTGGTGTCTGTATTGGTACAGTGTGTACTCTGTTCGTGGTTGTACTTGCCAACCCTTTATTTTCGCATGAACAACTTTACTTGACTTTCCCAAGAGTAAAAACCTTTCTAATATTTTTGTGACTTTCAAGGAGAGCAAAAAGTTAAGTGTCAAGGAAAATTGAATAACTACTTCAGATGTTGTTTTTAAGGAAGTGTGAATTGTTCGAAGAACATATATCTATAATACTGAATATACCTTTATTGAACATTTGTTTCCAGCATCAATTGCATTGGTTTTTTGTTCAATATTTGAAGTAAGGTAAAAACGAAGTTATATTTGTATATTTTTTTATCAAATAAACACGTTTCATCAACAACTTTCCTTCTTTATGGAGATAATAGGGAAATGTATTGGGAAAGGATAAATATCAACATGCGAGAGGTCTCGCACGGGAACGTTAGTAACTGTCGCATTCTTATATTCTATCTTATATCCAACATTTATCTTATTTACACCGACTAAAAATATGTAGATATTTATCGTTTATCTGAAAGTTGGGTGAAATCTGCCAGTAGCAGAATGTTCGCGCTATAACTAAAGATATTGACTCTTCTTACCTAGAAGCAATATGCATGTTTTTCTGATTAATAATTACGCTACTTAGATGGAGAATATGTAAGTATTATAAAAACTGATTTGTAGTTAGTCAATAAGATAATAGTGTAAGAAAAGTTTCATGTAAACGGTACTCGAGTCGTTTTCTACAAGGCACGAAAAAACTTGGTCATAAGCATACACTTTAATCAATTTTCCCAAGACACTCAAACTCTTACAAAAATCCTTGTCTAGCCATGTGCACTATTGACAAGCTGAGCACGCCCCTAAAAGCTTTATTGCTTGGGTACAATTCCAAGAAAATGGGAGACGCGAGCTAGAACGCTCGATACTACCAACAATTTCCATGTCCGCCTTTCCTCCGATTAATATATTACCTTCCATTGACTGGCAATTTGACCTGCCCTCTCAACCATCCAACGTCGTCACATCGAACACCGGCAGCTCCAGTGAAAATATGAATATTGATGCGCGCTCTCTCCAATGCTCAGTTTTCAATGGTACTTTTATTTTATTTTGTATCAGCAATTATGTCGCTACATCAGTACATTGAATTTCTAATGAGCTCTTCATTTGAATTTAATGAAGCTATGAATTTCTAAAGGTTATATCAGTGATGTGAAGGTCGATGCTACTAGCGGGAGTCTGTGACACAGGTAGCACGATGAAATCACCCTTTCACGCAATTGATCCCCTCGAAATGAGAGAGCAGTGGATAGTGAAAGTCGCTCTGAAAACTTTTCGGCTTTACATGTGAAATAAAAGTAGAAGGGATTTAGATAAATAAATTTAATAACATTTATTTTTTTATTTATATTATTACTTTTACACCATCACTATTGGAAAACGCCGGGGTTACTATTTATAGTTTCCTTTTCCGTGCTCAGAGGGACGTGTCCCTCTCAACATTTGAAAGGGATCTCGTACGTGTTAAAACACTTTATTTCCTTAAATATGTTCACTTCCTGATTTTTGCCTCTTTTAACCTCACAATTTATACATTTTACATACATTTGGTGAAGAGGCTGTCTAACCCATCTGACAGTTTTCCGAAGTTCTCAACATAATTCTCATAGTTGCGGATTTTATTAAATCACTAGTAAAATTCGTTAATTGTAAATAAAAAATGCGCAAGTCTCTCGTGCGGCAAAGCAAAACTTCATAGCTCCTAGGAAAAGTTGAATTTATGCATTCGTTTTTATTTGTTCTCATAAAGGCTTCTCTTTTTTCTGTACTTTCTAATTCTTACCTGAAATGTTGAAAAATCACCATAAAAATAAATTTACTTATTGATGTATTGAATTGCTCAGATCGGTATTTTCCATGGTTTCGTCTATTCACGCAAATTCCGAAGCAGTACAAATTTTACTAATGACCTTAGCAGTTGTCGTGTCTGGGAAAATCAATCAAACAACGGAGAAAGCAGATGGGACATGATGGTATGGGGCGGGAAGGGACAAAGTGGACGGGCATGTAAGTAAAATTACTTGGATTTTACTCTACAATTTAGGGAACATCATGAATCATTCGTTGCTTTGTCCGTCTAATAAATTTTGTTAAATAAATTCACGGACGACGCCGGGTACTTCAGCTGCTCAAAAAGTATAAAGTAATAATAAAATAAAGTTTCCCATTTGAACACATTTAAATGCTATGGGCCTTCTAAACTTGGGTTGGCCGCTCCCTCATGATGTATGATAGAACGTGTTCATTTACACGTTAACACAATGAGCGCAAAACTACTCAGAAATAGCAGCAAGCATTGACTCTTCCAACCACGTTAGCAAACAGCGTTTCAATGGCCTGTTGGGGTTAGTTCCTCATATAAATAAAATATTTACAAAGTTGTTTTTTCACTAAAACCTATTTGAAGTGTTTTTATTACTACAATGCGGGGTACAAAAAACGAAAGTAAATGGACGAGTGACGTGAAATACGAGACAGGAACATAATACTGTGAAATATTAGAAATGGAATGGCGCATAAATAGCAGCAGAAGAGCTGCGCGATGAACTCGCGCTGAAGCGGCCGCGGCGCCGCGCACGAAACGCAAGGCGATGACGTCAGAGCGCCTCCCGTGCCGTGACGCGCGCGAGGGGCGGGTGGAAGTCGTAAAGCCGCCAAGTGGCGGAGAAGAGTCTTCGCCACCTCCCACGCGCCTCGCTGCTGCACACATCTCTCCACCCCCCCTTTCCCCAAAGCGCCGCGCAACTTCTTACTCCTCCCGCCGTGTGCGTCC